GAAGACATTCTACAGCTGACTTTTAAAAATTATATATTTTTTCATATATATATTATATACATTAAATACAATTTTTAAACCACCTGTGTTAACCTGAGAGAGACATTGTACAGATAAGTGAAACTCACAAATACACTAAGACTTTTTGGACATATATTTTCATCTCCCCTATCATAAGACATCAATAAGAATTTCATATTCTTAAAGTGTATCTTGCCCTAACTACTAAAGATAATAACAGGAATATATGCTGCCCTAATCTCTGAAGATAATGATAGGAATGCAGCATCGCTGGGATATGTTGATGGTTTAAAGTTCGGGATTTTAATTTCACACTGATGTATCCTGCTTTTTATTCACCTTGCTTATAAACAGGAGCAAGCACCAGCAAAACTATAATCAGAGTAAGGATTGCATTTTGTTTTGTATTTACACGTAATTTTTCTCCTGTGTGAAATTTTTTTTCTGCCGTCACATGCAGGACTTAAACTAGCACCTATTTTGTATGGGGATGAATAACTTCTACTTCTTAACCACATCCTCTTCTCAGTTCACCACAGGAGAAGGTGATAATAAGAAGGCCCAAAACGTTAGCATTATCTGCCAAAGTTGTGGGTGAGAAGGCAAGAGGTACAACTGAACTACAGAAGGACGAACTGGAAGATAACGACGCTTCTCTCACACATGCTCAGATTGGGCTGCTGATTCAGTCATCCTTTTCTCTGACTGCTGTGCCTAAATGGTCTCTTCCTCTGGGAGGAATTCAGATTGGATACTCTTGCCTCAGCAGTAATCAATATAGGGATGCTGCCCTGGAGTTCTGGAATCTATTTATTCCTACCATGAGGCCCTATCACTACCTATCCACAGGTTTAAGTGATTTTTCTTTCCAAGGTAAATTCCACAATGATGTGTGTAAAAGTTAAGTGTTGGCAGGGTGCCCACATAAAACCTGGGGCGGGGAGGCCACATAATGTTTAGGGCCCAGAAGCCACTGACCACTTTGACTACTAACAGCCCGTCATCAAGGCCAACTTACCTACATTTCCATCTTCACACATTGGCTTCCGCCTCTTGCAATTTGATTAACAGGGAAAAACCACTCCCAATTTTTATACATGCTATTTTTTAAGTCTCTGGGGACTTTCTGTGACTCATAAGGGAGAGTTTCACGGGGATTTAGCTCTTTCTTTGAACCTATTTAGCCAGTAAACCAAACATTTTCTAGAAAACAAAATGAAGAATCTGACTTCTTCCCAGCTAAACCCAGTTTAGGAAAAGCTTCCTGTTTTGTAAAGCATTCATCTTTGGACTTTCAGCTCCAGCACAGTCCCAAATGGTCATGCATCAAACAGCGGTAGAGGGGGTAGGGAAGCTGGCAGGGATGAATTTGAATGCTTTTTTTTTTTTGTATGGGGATCAAACTCAGGTCCTTGCACTTGCAAGGCAGGCAGCGAAACCACTGAGCTAAATCCCCAGCCCCTGAATTTGGATGCTTACAGTGAAGTCAGCTCAGAATTTGCCTACAACAGACTTCTACGCAGGAAGTCTGAGTTTCACCTCCTCAAATTGTTGCTTCTTATTACTATGTCTGGTCAGGGGGCAGTGGTGTTGTTTAGGTGAAAAACAAAGAAAATGATGGGGAAAAAAATCACTCCTCCAAAGAAATATAAGCAGAAAAGCTATAGATTTTGTCTCTGCTTACTCTTTTTAAGGACAGTATTTTTTAATAGACCAAAAGAGTCATAAATTAATGTCTGTGAATGTTTATGAGAAGGGTATAATGCATTAGTCAGTATGGAATATTATATAAATAAACCTTATATACACAAAATATATAAACAAAAATTATTTCACAGGAAAGTGAATAGTTAAGGATTTCCAAGCTTTTAATATCTTTGTTCCAAAAAATAGAGAGTTCCAGGGATGCTTATTTCCCTAGTATATTCCACTGCCAAGCCAAGAACTTCAGCAAGTTGTTTGCTGTTTGCTTCCAGGGTTTGTAATGTACAGCAAACTATATGGGTTACATTAACAGGTCTGCCTCATATGTTGGTTTTGCTTATACATATGGAGTTATCAGAGATTTGTTCCACACTTTGCATCCTGAAAAACCCAAAGGAATTTTCTAATAAGAGGAAAAATATACAGAATATAAGTTCACTATTGGGTAACTCTCAGATCTGTACCACTCAATGCTTTCTGTAAAACTGAGTTAATGTGATATTTGATATCAGAGTTATCGTCTCTCACCTAAATATCTAGTATTAGATAATGTCAGTCCTGGGAGCACATATTTTTGTCACATCCTTTTTTCTTGAGCTTGACATGTCCTAGAGAAAATCGGAAGTCCTGGCCCTGAACTATCTCCCTTCAGAACCACTCTACCATCCATTTTCAAAGAACTATCCACGTATGAATTCCCTGCTGCTCTGTGGTAGACTCGATGCTCTCAGACCACAGTTTGGGGAACTTGCTTGGGTTTGTGGCTCTAATACAGTGCTAAGTCTGCTGCACACTGCCTAGATTGATCAGAAGCAGCAAAGGGGAAAGGCACTTCCAGGCTGGAGGCCTCCCTTCACAACCTTCATATCTGCCAGGAAGGGAGCGTGCTGAGACCTGTGCACCAAGTGCCATCTGCTCTTCTGCAGAGAAGGGTCAGCCATGCAGATTACCCCAGCCTCCTTGGCCAACAATGTGCATTGCTCCCCCCAGCTGCGAGCTTGTGAAAACCCAAAATGTGTTTTAGCATGAAACAATAAAAACAGGTTTATTTTCATTTCACAGAGTTGTCTGCCAGACTTTGTTGTTTGTTTTTGTTGTTTCAGTTTAACTGATTTGGAGAGGACAGTGCTTAATCACAGACTAAATGTCAATGCTGAGCATTTAATTTTTCCCAAAGGGGTTGGGTGCCCTGTAGCTGCTTTGGACATACAGAAGTAGTTTTGGTGGAAATGAGGGCCACAACGAGTCGCACTTCCTCTCTGGGCTGTCAGGGACGAGTCCACCTCTATAGAGGTAAGTCTGGCTGGTACAACTGCATGGTTCTAAGAAGCCTCTTGACCAATCCCTTCTGCTTAGTGCAGAGGTTAGAGCACAGGCCCAAGAGCCTTCCTGCCTGCCTGTGTGACCAGCTGGGTGACTGAAGACAGGTTACTTAACAGTTCTGTCACTCAGACCCCTTTTCTGGAAAATGGAAATACAATAGCACCTTCCTGAGGGATGATAAGAGTTAAATGTCTTAAAACATACAGAGTCCTTGGGGTGGGGATTTAGTTCAGTCATCCTGTACCTGCTTTGCAAGCACAAGGTCCTGAGTTTGATCCCCAGTACAGGGGATGGGGGGACATGGATGACGACGACATACAGAGTCCTTTGAACACTGCCTGGCACTTACAAGTGCTCAGAAAATTAGTGTCTTATCATCCCCACAATGTGTGCCATATCATCTACCAGCTGTTATTTACTTAATATTCTTATTTTAATTGACTCAATTTTCATCTAAAATTTAATTTGAAAAAGATTTTATACCTATATATGTTTTCCAACTGTAAATGGAAAACCAAAATAATGTGCTACAAATACAAGATGGCCATAAAATAATACACTTGATCTTAGCCAAAAGGCTGAGAAACAATAGCCATAAAATAGTAATAGCACATATTTACTGAGTCCTTACTACTTGCCAGGTGCTGTTCTAAATAACTTGATTTATTATAATCCTCATAACCCTATAAGGTCAGTACAATACCATCCCCCTTTATTAGTTGAGAAACTGAGACAGAGGGGCTAAGATTTTTGCCTATAGGGCTGGGGATTTAGCTCAGTGGTTCTGGCGCCTGCCTTGCAACCGCAAGGTCCTGAGTTCAATCCCCGGTACAAAAAAAAAAAAAAGAAATTTGGCTATAGTTGCACAGTTAGTACTGTACATAGGTTTTCTGCTCCAGAACCTAGGCTTTTCAGCTCTGTTCTGGGCTGTTATCCCACTGAAAACCAGAATACCATTCAATTTGCCCAATGTAGCCCATTATTGTCTTCATAGGGCTGCTGTAGTAAATGGCCGCAAACTAGGTAATTAGAAACAACAGCAACTGATTCTGTCAGAATGGAGGCTAGAAATCCAAAATCAAGATGTTAGCAGGGCCACGCTTCGTAAAAACCTCTGGGAGAGGATGTTCCCTTGGCCCATCTGGCTTCCGGCAGCCCCAGGCATCCCTTGGTTTGTGATAGCATAGCTCCAGTCTCTTCCAGTCTTCACCTGGCCATCTTCCCTCCGTGTCTGTAATTCTGTCTCTTCTCCTCTTATAAAGACACCAGTCATACTGGATTAGCACCCTCCCTAACAACCTCATCTAACTTGATTACATTTGCAAGACGCTATTTCCAATTAAATTCACAGTCACAGGTATCTTTTTGTGGGGTTTGCGAGAGGCAGGAGACACAGTTCAACCTAAAACTGTTGCTATGTAAGGCTTTGAGCCTGGGGCAAAAAGGTGGGGCCAGGGATTTAGCTCAGTGGCACTAGCCTACCTTGCAAGTTCAAGGTCCTGAATTCTATCCCAGTCGGGGGAGGGGGCAGGTATTGTAGGTATTAGCACCAACCTGCAACTTTTGCATTTATGCCACCAAGACTGCAGGAGCCAGGACCAAAAAAAGGACAATGGCTTACACGTTTCAGTGATACTAGGTGCTCAGTATGGGAGCTAACTACTGACACACTTTGGGAAAAATAGTTTGGCAGTAGAAAGCCACATGACAATTTCTCCAGCCTCCCAGACATCCCTCATGGGAGGATGGCAGTAGAAAGCTGGGGAAAAAAATGTAACCTTCCAAAACTCCAGGGGGAAAGGGTCGGATGTACAATACTCACCTCTAGAATGTGCTTTATATGGCTGGACTGGAATAGCAAATTCAGACAAACAATAGTCTTCAACAGGGGGAATAATAAAGAACACCAGTAGAGGCAGTAGTGAAGAGATCATTTATTTTCCTACTGTTGCAGAGAAAATTTATGAAGAAAAACATCTTTCTCCAGGAGCGGTATGAGGGAAAGGCATGAGGTGTGAGGAACAGGAGGAGTTATCTTGCTGTCAAACGAAAGCATCCTTAGCTGAAGGGACTACACAGATTTCATAGAGTTGGGAGCTTCTCATCTTGAGCTCCCGGGCCACCTGACAGACGGAAAAAGGCCAACAGCAGTGCACCACCAGCCAGTCCTCACACAAGGTGCCCTAGGGCAAAACCAGAGTATCTGATTTATGGAAATTGCAGCAGGCTCATTTTTTTTGCAAGAAACAGCACACTGTTAGCTCCTGGCCCATCCCACCCACTCCTTCCAAGATCTACCGACACCTTAAGTCAAAACCCAGGACACTGGGTTGCCCCAGTGCCAAGCAGCTGGGCGACTAGCCAATACCTACAATTCAGAGCCCTGCTCTTCAAACTTTTGATTAGGGCCTCCTTCTTAAACCAATAATTTCTCTGTTAATATCTTAGATTTTTTCTTCTTAAGATTTGATACTTATTTCTTTGACATAGGTAGTAAGTGCAAAATTCACACAGTAAAGAGAGATAGGAAATAAAAAGTAAATCCCTCTCTATAGCTGCCCCCAGCCTTTCAGTTACCTGTCTAGGGACAACTGTTTGTTTCTTATATACACTTCCAGATAAATTCTATGTCTATGTATGTATGTATACATATATATATATATATATATATGTCACATACAATATATATAATCTTTTTATGCAAATAGATACATATTTCTATGCCTTTTTTTTCCACTCAAAAATATATCAATAGAGATCATTCCCTTGAATACATAAGGAGATTTTTTTTTTTTTTTGAGACAGGGTCTTGCTATATAGTTTAGACTGGCCTTGAACTCACTATGTACTCCAGGCTGGCCTTGAACTCAAGGTAATCCTCCTGTTTCAGCCTCCTGAGTGCTGGGATTATAGGCATGTGCCACCACACCTCACAAGAGATGCCTTTTGTTTTTGTTGTTGTTGTTCTTGTTTTGAAACAGGGTCTATGTAGTTCAGGCTGGCCTTGAACTCACAATGTAGCCCAGGCTGGCCTCAAACAAAGTGATCTTCCTGCCTCAGCCTCCTGAGTACTGAGATTATATGGCCAGCTAAGAGATGCCTTTTTCCTAATATGTTTGACCTGTCTCTCCCCAACTTCTCTTGTACTTCAGTCTCAGCTGAGCTAGAAATTGACTGACTCATTCAAAGACCCCCAGGGTACCCCCAAAGTGAATTCTGTGTGTCACATAGGCTATATTTTAAGTCAGACCTCCCAAGAATATCCTCCAAATTTGGTAAACTTTGTATAATTTGGTATAATGTGTTAAATTTGGTGTAATTCCATCATTTTCCCTTGAAGTAATAAGAAACAGACAGAGGACAATGTGGTTTGATGTCTATAGATGGAAGGGAATCTCATCGCCTTAGGGGTTGAGATTAATCAGTCACCTCCTGCTATTACTGTTCATCAAAGCACATCTCAGGATGCACTGCTTAGCCAATGAGCTGGCCAAGCCCACTGACCAGTAATTTGCATTCTAATTTTCCTTTTGGAAATACCCTTTATAATATAGCATTTTAGTTAACTTACACTTCTTACTAAGGAATAAAATCAGAAATTTCCTTTCTCAAAGGTTTTCACTAATTGTGATATCTTTAAGTTCTCTGTCTATCCAGAAAATAATAGGATTGGAAGCCATTTAGGTTCTCATAGACATCAGCATTCGCATGTACCTCAAATGCACTTACCTGTATTTTATATCTCTCTCTGGTGCCAATTCTCAATGCAAAGGTTGACCCAGGTAACAATGGCCAACAAAGACATTCTCCATAATACCTGGCGATGTCACTCTCAAGACACATGGGACAAAACAGGCCACAAAAACCTGTCAATAACCATATAAAAGAAAGCAAAGGTTGTCAGATGTTCAGGGAGCAATTTCACATCTTAAGTAACATTTACAACTCTACACTGTCTACATTGTCTCCTGGCAACTGGGGACTGAGAATGAATAACCAATTCACAAACTCAGCATATGAAAATTGCCACAACTGAACCACATCAAAATTGTCTCCTTTTGTTAAACATTGGCCAAGCTGAACCTGATACAATTCTGTTAGCACTGACTATGGTAATTGCTTTTTCTCATCAAGAGAAATGTGTTAAATAATTTTTAAATCCTGACTGTTGCTTCTGTTATGTTAATCTAATTTCAATATTTAAAAGACATTATCGAGAATACTCTTGAATAATATTTTTATAAATATAATTGAAAGTTTTTTCCTGGCACACTGATTCTACTTCCTATTCTTAACAGGGTTTTATTCTATCTTTCAGACCAGAAGATTATTCTAATTTTTGTCGGTTTCATGGAGCCACTGACATGTGTCAGTTTTAATCAGCAAATGATTAGAGGCTTGGTCCCTTGAATGTAAACTGGAAACAGTTTGTTATTTATTAGTTCATTCATTTTTAACTACTGAAATGGTTTCCTATACATTCTGCATTAGCCTTCTAACACAGAGGTTCTAAATATGTTTTGGGTTACATACCCTTTTGAAAATATGACAACAGTTATAAACTTGCTTCATCAGGAAAAAGAAATGTACATGCACACAAGCATGCAAAATTATGCATTCAATTTCATGTAGTTCAAGGATCTGTTGAAAACTATTAATGGAACTCCTGATAAACAGCGTGACAATGTGGATGAATGCAAATAATTATGCTATGAGACAGAAAAATACTATGCTAGCTAGGATGGGGGGGGGCACGCCTGTAATCCCAGCACTTGGGAGGCTGAGGCAGGAGGATAACTGTGAGTTCAAGGCCAGCCTGGGCTACATAGTGAGTTCAAGGCCAGCCTGAACTATATAGTGAGACCCTGTCTCAAAAGCAAAACAAAAAAAAAAAACTATCATCTTTAAAGAATTGCTTTCAATAAATATTTTATTAAGGCAAATTTATACATAAGATGATGCACACATCTTAAGCGTCCAGTTGGATGATCTCAACAATCATATTCACCCAAGTAACCAAACATATAAAACACTGCCCTCACCCAGAATTTTTTTTGCTCCTTTCTGGTCAATCCCAACCCTTCCACCTCCCACTCTTGAGAGAATCACAGTTCTAATTTCTATTCAAACAGATAAATTTTTCCTCTTCGTGGACTTCATATAAACGGAATCATGTTTACTTTTATACCTAGTTTCTTTTGTTTGGCATGCTATTTTTGAGATTCATCTCTTGTTATATGCATCTATAGCTTTTTTTTTTTTTTGGTACCAGGGATTGAACTTGGGTCCTCGCACTCAGGAGGCAGGCAGCAGAACCACTGAGTTAAATCCCCGGCCCTATCTATAGCTTTTCTTATTGCTAAGTAGTACACCATTGTGTGACTCTTCCACAAAATATATATCCCTTCTCTACTAATAGACAGTTGTTTATTCCATTTGTTGCTGTTGTGATTAAGACTGTTATGGGCCTGGGGATTTAGCTCAGTGGCTTCGCCACCACCTGCTGTGCAAGCACAAGGACCCAAGTTCGTTCCCCAGTACAAAAAAAAAAACTGCTATGGATATTCATCTCTAAGTCTTTATGTAGATATATGCTTTCATTTTGCTCTCATTCCTAAAAATAGAATTGCTAGGTCATAGGCCAGATATATATTTAACTTTACAAAAAATGACAAATAGTTCTCTGAAATATTTGTAGGACTTCATGCTCCCTCTGGCAATGTGTGAAAGTTCTAGTTGGCCCACATCCTTGTCAACATTTACTATTGTCAGTCTTTTGTATTTGAGCCATTCTAGGGAGTGTGAAGTAGTAGTTACCATAGCTTCAAAAAGGCTCAAGTACCATGACACTAGCACCCCAGAAGAACTTCCTGTCGATGGCCTGTCTCTGCCTTCCCTGCCTCTCCAACAGTGAGCACTGCAAAGTTCCTCTTCCAAGTTCAGTGACAGAGAGGCACAAAGCTAGGAAGGCTGTTATTTTAGGACCTTCCGGGGACCCTCCAGGACTCTGGATGTCTTTAACTTTACATAATGGGTGAAGTATCACACCTCACAAAAGACGAGAGAGCTGCAAGGAGGAGGGAGCAGCCTGTCTGTGAGGAGCCAGACATTTATTTCATCCACTCAGCAACTTCAGGATAATCACGACATCATCTACCACAGACATCATTTGGCCTAAAGCAAACAGTTCATCCTGAAGTAGGTTTGGGATGTTTACTCTGCATTATTAAAAAATTCCAGGGCAATCAGGAGGCCCCATTCAGCACCAGCAACTGGTATGAATAGCTTTTTGGTCAGCAAATGGTCCAGTAAATTCAAAAGTGGTCACACTGTATCCATCCTTGAATTAGAGGAATTTTAAATCAATGGCACATAAAAACCAATCAAATCACACTTTATATGTAGATTATGAAATATTGTAAATCCCTGCAAATTAAACAATAAAAAATTGCGTAATTGTAAATCTGGCAAACTAAGTGCTAATATACTGTGTTTTCACAATCTTCTCAGTTGCACCACTTTGACAAAGAGGAATGCCCCACCATCCTTAGTGTATTACAAAGAAGTTGTTTATGTGCGTTGGTATCTCTGCACCAAATTTTTATGACTCATACGCTATTATTTTTCATCTTTTTATGAAATAACCATGTTATCTAAGTGTTCATTAGGAGATACTACTAGATACTGAAGAAAACACACCCAAAATTCAATTACTTTGAAATAGAAGGCAGCTGCAATTAAAAAAAAAAACAAAACATTTTGAAGTACAAACTTTGATTATATAAGTTAATATTTATACAAACTTCACTATGTAAGCTCTGCTAAAAACATTTTGCACATATTAACTCGTACAATCTTTGCAACAATCCTAACAAGTAGGTGATCTGAATATCCCCATTTTACAAATGAAGAAACCTATCTCCACAAGACTTAAATAATTTGCTCAAGTTCATACAATTATTAGTGAGGCCAGAGGCCAGATTTAAATTCAGGGAGCCTGGCCTCAAAGTCTACTACATACATGTTCTCATATTTTATGTATTTATCTGTTCTGCCAAAATTATTATGGATTTGTGTGCTCCAAGACAGTATTTCTATTATCACTGCATTATATTTATTCCTGTGGGGTAGTCTTAAATCATGCAATTCTTTAAGATCCTTTGTATTGAGTGTTGCTGCTCTGTACTTTGGAGAGTACAATGAGGTATAAAATGCTGTCAAGTCACACTGAAGAAGGGATGTGCAACAGTAGGTTGATGGGATCCTACTAGAGAGGAGAAAATTTTCAACACACCTCTTGTACCAAGGATACTCAAAGAACTCCTATGAATCAATATACAAATGATTTTTTAAAAAAAGAAAACAGGCACAGGACATGATCAGGTAACTCATTGAAAAGGAAATACAAATGGCCAAAAGTAAACATGAAAAGTTACTCAGTGTCATTAGAAATGTATATTAACACTATCAGAAGCCATTTGTTGCTCATAAGAATACTATTTCTAAGTTTATTGATACAGTATATTATGAGCAGCCATAGAAAAATAGGTACTCCTTAACCAGATGGAAGTAGAAACTGGCACAACTACTTTGGAAGATGACTTTGCTGAATCTATTAAAATTTAAAATCCCCTAGGAACCAGTAATTCCACTTATCAGCACCCAACCCTAGAGTAATGCTTTACATATGCACAAAAAGAATCAAGTAAGAGGATAGTCATTGCAACATTGTAATTTGAAATTTAAAACAACTTAAATGTATATTAATAGACTAAAATGGAAATAAACCGTGATGGTATAACCACTTCATGGAATCATTAAGAATGTTTAAGAGGGCCAGGGATTTAGCTCAGTGGTTTCACCGCCTGCTGTGCAAGCGCAAGGACCCGAGTTCGATCCCTGGTACCAAAAAAAAAAAAAAAAATGTTTAAGAATAACAATAGATCACTATAGCGCCAACATAGCTAAATCTCTAAGACACATTTTGAGTTTAAAAAAAAATCAAATTGCACAATCATATGTATGGTATAATTCCATTTATGCTTTGTTTAAAGAGTAACAATATTACTGAGAGATACATATCTAATTTTAGTATATGTGCTGCCAAAGCAAGCACAATAGATACATATCTAAACGCAGAGAAAAAAGAACTGGAAGGAAACCCTCTCAATTGATTTTTGTTCCCCCTGAACTCGGGATCTTCCATTTGCAAGGCAGATGGCAGCACCACTGAGCTAAATCACCAGCCCTCAATTGACTTTTAAAAGAGAGGTGATATGATTTCCTTTTCAGTAATGTCTCATTTTCTATATGTATTAGTATGCAACCGGTGAAATTTTTCTTTTCAAGAGCTCAGGTTCAAAAGTGATTTATGGCATAAATTTAGTCTCTTCCTTAGGCTTGGGGATTTAGCTCAGTGGCACAGCACCTGCCTGGCAAGTGCAAGGTCTTGAGTTTGATCCCCAGTACAAAAAAAAAATGAAAAATTTAGCTTCTTCCTTTATGCCTAAAGATCTGGTGGCTTTGTAAGCATCCACAGCCTAAATGATCCAGCCCTATTCTCTTCAAGTATCTTCATCTTTTTAGCCCATAAAGAAGAGAAAGAAGCCACTATGTGGACCCCAGAGAGCAGTAGAGAAAAGGGGGAAAGCTTCAGAAAGGCATATTTCAGATCAATTATTACAAAAGGCAGAACCTTATAACAATAATAGATGCCTTAAAAAAATAATTGCCAATGGAGTGTAAATTAATACAAATTCCAAATGGAAAGCTATTTGACAACATCTCTAAAAATTTAATCTGCTGGGCGTGGTGGCGCAGGCCTGTAGTACCAGCACTCAGGAGGCTGAGGCAGGAGGATTGCTGT